TGCACTTCGAGCGAGGGTTAATGAAGCGAATTGATTGCTCCGAAAAGTTTAATTTACGTTTGGGCGCGAATCCATTTTGATTTGCCTTAATTAAACGGGGCCGGTTATAGTATGAAAACGAATTAATATTTAGACAACAATTCTATTAGATTGGCTGAAATTCTTGTTTATGTTCTAATTATTGAACTAGAGTTAACATTTTAATGTTCAATCTCCAGATTTTACACTAGACGATTTACATTGTTGTATATGATCATAATTATCGGAACCCTTAGAACATTAAAGTGATATATTAGCACTACGGCTGGGAAAGATTTGGAAGGATAGGAGGATTACCAAGAAGACTAAGGTCAGATTGATGAAATGTCTTGTGTTTCCAATCTTTCTCTATGGAGCCGAAACCTGGTCTCTAAGATTGCAGGATCGCCGTAAAATCGATGCACTGGAGATGTGGTGCTGGAGACGCCTCCTGAAGATCCCATGGATGGCATTCCGCACCAATGCATCCATCCTCAAAGAACTCGCTATCAAAGACCGACTTTCGTCAACAGTGCAACTGAGGGTTTTAAAATTCTTTGGTCACATCTCCAGAAAAGAGCACTCGATGGAGAGACTGGTAGTCCAGGGCCAGGTGGAAGGCAGAAGATCACGCGGCCGCTCACCGACCCGCTGGACTGACCTAATAAAGAAGGCAACTGAGTCCACTATGGTCGAATGTACTCGTAACGCTTCGAACCGCCAGACCTGGAAGCGCATTGCCTGGAGGACGGTTGTCGGGAGCATGGGCGACCTAACAGGTCCTACTGCACATACAGCGTCAACGCAACCACGACCACTCTGACAAGAGTGTCCGACTGAGAAGAGATGATTAGCACTACCCATTAGCACATGAGGGCAAAGCTTCATTGTAGTAGTTATAATATTAAAGTTGTGTTTGTAATAATTTTTTAACTAAATTTTTACTAAATTTTGACAAATCTAAGAAACTAATTTAAATGTTTTTAAATAGTGATTGTAACTAGTTGCTTTATAATAATTAATTCAAAATAGCTGTTCAAGGTGTTCAAATCAATGGCATAAGGAAAACGGAGCAGTTGCCTCAAAAAAATTAATCTGTGTACCTACTCCTTTCATCATTGTCACCCGTTCAGTTAATAAATTATTTCTGTTTTTTCTACAACTGAGATATTATATCTCTGAGAACATGTTCGGATTATTATATTCAGTATTTATAAATAAGTTCTAAAAGTACTCAAGTCAGAAGTGTCTTCATGCATCGAAATTAGGATAGAGTTTTAAGGTCATCAATAAAATCGAAAAAAATGGAAATACGAATCGTACACAGAGTATATAAAAATATAGGCTAAAGTATCTAAAGTAAAGGCAATAACGCCAATTATGACGACATTTGAGAACAAAATTCAAATATATATTACATGGTATTTTACTTTAATTTCAATTAAAATTTTCAACTTCAATTTCTAATTTTCAATTTCATATTTCATCATAATTTCATTCAATTTTCATACTTTTTCTATTTCGGATTGATTTTTCATTTAAATAAATTTTAAAAAAAGGTCATTGCCCATTGTACTGTATTATGGTATAACTTACCGCGGCTTGGCTCTGCCCCTGGCATTGCTGAAGTCTATGGGCGACGGTAAACACTCACCATTAGGCCGTATGGTCATATGTCGACAAGCACAATAAAAAAACTGCTGTTCCAAATTTTATACGGACGAATTACTGCTTTGCAGCAAAAATACGGGGTATGGTGGTAGTTGCTGACCTCTCCATCGACGTTGCCACTTTTGGCAAGGCCACGGCGTTTGAATTATATATTGTTATTTTAATAATTTAATCATCAATAATTGCGAGCACCTCAATTTATGTTACCAACATCATTATTACGCGCACATTCGACCACTACACTGAAAGTCCTATTAAACAGATGCTGCAAAATAAAAGTTATTAATCAGTCCATCTGTTAATAACATAACAAATTACAAGTTATAAATAAAACATTAAACCAAATCCAGGCTCTGAATGAAACCCGGCGATTACGCATCCGATAACAATTAATTACTGTAATTCTGAAACTAGTACATTAGTTCGACTGGTACAGTCGCGTAGATGTGTGCTAACGTTGAATAATATACCAATAGTTTAGAAAAAAACTTCGTGAAGAACGATTTTTTTTATTGAAAAATCAAAGTGTTTTTATAAAGTGCGCGGCGACATCAATAGTCGGGATTCCTGGCTGCGCCTTTGCTCGCCCACCTGTCCTGAAGAAACTGGAGAAGCCTTCGGGCCACCAAGGAAGGATTACAGAATCCTTCCTTCAAAATAAAATAGTGGGGAAACGTCTAAAATAGAAACTTCTGAAACGATTAGGGAATAAAAAAAAAATCCTGTTGCGGTCTTCAAGGGTGTCATTAAGGGTCTGGTGGCCTATTTCTGCCGGGAAACAGTAATGCGTTCCTGTTTGAAGGAAGAAGCAGCTGTTTTACAATAGAACTCAGATGAAAAAAAAACATGAGTTCTAACTCATGTTTTTTTTTGTGTGGAGTGGTTACCGTCGCCCATGGACTTCAACAATGCTAGGGGCAGAGCCAAGCCGCTGCCTACAGATAAGACGCTGGCGCATTCGTGATGAGCGATGCACCGGTGTTCGAATCCCACAGGCGGGCACCAATTTTTCTAATGAAATACATACTCAACAAATGTTCACGATTGACTTCCAAAGTGAAGGAATAACGTCGTGTAATAAAAATCAAACTTGCAAAATTATAATTTGCTTAATTACTAGTAGTAGGACCTCTTGTGAGTCCGCGCGGGTAGGTACCGCCACCCCGCCTATTTCTGCCGTGAAGCAGTAATGCATTTCGGTTTGAAGGGTGGGGCAGCCGCTGTAACTATACTTGAGACCTTAGAACCTATATCTCAAAGTGGGTGGCGCATTTACGTTGTAGATTTCTATGGGCTCCAGTAACCACTTAACACCAGGTGGGCTGTGAGCTCGTCCACTCATCTAAGCAATAAAAAATAAATAAATAAATATTAATTACTAAACACACGTTTGTTCTTTAAATGAGTACCCAGCAGTGGGTGGTGGCTTGGCTGTATTGTTGGCGTCCATTAGCAAAGGTGACCATCCGGTGGACCATGTTCTCGTCTGCCTACTAAAGCAATATAAGGATTTTTTCCATTCCGCCACATCGGTGATGATAGTGACGTTAGTATTGATGACGTCACACCCTTAGAAGCATTCGGGGTCCCTGTAAAGTGTGGGACTTGAAGAATTTGGGCCTCGAAGTAAACGCTAGGTTTCTATTTGAAGCTATATTATTACTTCATACAAACACGTCAAACATAACGGATTCTGTTTTATATTTAAATAGCTGACCCGGCAGACTTCGTAGTGCCTCAATCGATTAATAAAAGACAAAAGGAATCCGTCCGATGGGGGACACATCAAAGGACAAACAAAATTGTTTGTTTTTATATAATTCCGAGTGTTTTTATATTTTCTCACCTTTTAAACCTTCCCTGGACTTCCACGAATAATTCAAGACCAAAATTAGCCAAATCGGTCCAGCCGTTCTCGAGTTTTAGTGAGACTAACGAACAGCAATTCATTTTTATATTTAGAGACTAGTGAAATTCGAACACGCTTTGGCTATCTCAAGTACTCAACTATCGTTGAAGGTAACAAACGTGTAAGATCTACTCTTATTATTCTAAACAAAAACACAGGTTGCCGATTGTATCATATAAAACAACGAGAAATTCTTAAAAAATGTTTTAATACAACAAAGTTTAGTTGCTTATGAACTATCATTTAAAAGTAAATAAATTCATAACTATTCTAAAATAAAATTGCAGGGTGCATAATACATAATATAAACTTATTTTACACAAGCAATTCAAGAATAACAAACATGCAGACATAATAATTGCAGAAGTTGAATTCAAGCTAACTGACACCGCTTATCAGACAGTATCATTCACTTTTAATCCAGCCCACTGAGTTTCTCGCCGGATCTTCTCAGTGGGTCGCATTTCCGATGCGGTGGTAAATTCTGCGAAGTACTGCTCTTGCAGTAAGGCAGTGTTAGCAACACTCCGGTTTGAGCCTCGTGAGCTCACCTACACACGTTAGGGTGAAGCTGAAATAGCCTCTCAAGGCTATCAGCATAGGTAGGGGAAAAAAATCATTCACAAAGATAGAAATTCTCAGGAATAATTTTCTAAAACACAATAAGCGCCCAAGCATTTGAAAAATAACTTGAATCTTTGTCAGTACTTTAAGAGGTCAGTACATTTTGCGTTTGGTCCGTACAAACTTATTATCTAACCTCAAGCAGCGGTCACCGTCCTCGCCGAATCCGTCGCTTATGACGAAGGGCTCGACGAGTAAATTAACCCATAGATACAGCCCACTGAGTTTCTCGCCGGATCTTCTCAGTGTATCACGTTTCCGATCCAGTGGTAGATTCTGCGAAGTACTGCTCTTGCTAAGGCCAGTCAAGGAAATGCTGAAAAAGCCTCTCAAAGCTATCAGCATAGGTAGGAAAAAAAGGATTATATTATCTAGTTTTTCATTTTAAACGATCTAAGGCAAAGCATTTAGACATAAAAATATTTATTTCTACCACCAACATGCTTCCATATTTTGATAATATTCGGAAATAAATTATTTGAATTAAAATTTGAATCGTTCTGAAGTTCCAAAAATTGCTTCTTTAAATTCAACCCCTTTAGGTGTATTGGAGACATATTTTTTGAGAAAAAATCGTAAATCTACAAACACAAATAAGAATTATCTTTACGGATACCCCCGTTTTTTATAGCCATTACGTCATTTCTAACGTTCCTAATACGTCACAGTTACGTGGGCACGGACAACATTCGTGAGAAGTCACCATCGTAAAAGTCGATAGTTTTTTTTATTTAATTACCTCTACGGCTCGCAAATACTGAAGAAAATACAACAAACAAACAAATTCAAATAGATTTATTTTTTTCAGAACATAGAGCTTCCATAAAGTCGTTAGTAGCAAGCTTATTAGTAAAATGTTAGTAAATGTAAGCTATGCTTGGGATTGGAAAATACAGCGAGCCCGACAGCTTAACATAGAGCTTTGGTTCGTCAAATGAATTGCGATCCAATCAATATAAACTATGCCTCTCAATTAGTAAATTGAAAAAACTAAGGCAAGATCGGTCCAGGTTAGAACCTTTTAAATTTTATACGTACGTATTTTCAATTATCTCTCAGAATGGCTTGCATGTTTTATTAAAAGCTATTCTCCCAATTTCTCCGCAGCCGCGTTTCACTTTAGGCGCTGTCAAATCACAACACGAACGAAACATATTGCCTGAATCCTTATAATGAAATTACATAAGCACAAAAAATATTGAAGAGAGAAGAAAATGGAAAATACGTGTGTCAAATTTTAAATAGTATTGTGTGCTTATTAAAAAAAAAACATAACAGAAAATTAAACTTTTATAATTGCGACATCAAATTGAGTACAAAAGGATATTTTAAAAATTTTAAAGATTTAATTGATTGTTTGTGGAATATGATTAATTAAATAATAACCTTATAATCAAACCTTAAAAATTCAGGGGCACCATCGTAATCTCTCATAGTAAATATGAAGACAGCGAATAACGATACGCCCCCAGTTTTTGATCGAGATTAGCAAAATACCGCCCACGCTACAACTTCGATTAAAGTTTCTAAATTAGTGGGTAGTTTTTTTTTTATTAATATATTTTATTGCTTAGATTTTACGATATAAGTGGGAATTGAAATATGAATTCGTGATTAGCAATAGAAATTAAGGACTACGTCTACTTCAGTTGGATCAACACCATGAAGTACGTGACAACAGCGCCCAGCACCTACGACAATTGAAAAAAATAATATTTAGGCAACATAATTGATTATTTGCATAGATTACCGTTTACCTAGGCACAAGGTAAAAATTTCGATGCTCTTACAGTCTGTCTTAATTAATTAATGTTTCGCGGCCGAGACAGGTACAGTAGTAGTACCAACCCAGATATAAAAAAGTATATTATAACCTACCACCAAAGGGACGGGTTAGTGGTAGTCAAAATGTTGGGAGCCATATGGCCCTTCGTAGTACAATGTCATTTGGGAAGAATGAAGGTATTATAGATAGAGAGAGTATGCTTTATCTCTTCTAGACAACAAATGTAGATAAGAATCATGTAAGCAGCAAAAGCAGAAATGGGTTTCGGTTTAAAGGGTGACACAGCCGCTGTAACATAAACTAAGGCTTAGAACTCATATCTCAAGATGGGTGGTAGCATTTACGTTGTTCATATCTATGAACTGTGGTAACCATTTAACACAAGGTGGGCCATGAACTCGCCCGCCAGTATAAAGAATCAATAAAAATACTTAGAATTTTCCCACCCAATGTGTCCAGTAGTCGAGTTCTGAGTCTCACTTAAGTTAACATTACTGTTGTTATTTTTTTATTTTATACCCTTTTTTATGATTGAGGTATTATTACTGGTGGCCCGGAGGCCTTTCCAGTTTCACCAGGACAGATGGACGAGCAAGGCCTCAGCCAGGAGGAGTGGGATTTACTAACAGCGAGCGGTTCCAAAGAAGGGCTAACAATTCAAGAGTAGCTGCTTCGCGAATGAATCTACTACCAGATCGGAATCATTACCCGCTGAAAAGGTGGACCCGCAACTGGTGGTAGGACCTCCTGTGAGTCCGCGCGGGTAGGTACCACCATCCTGCCTATTTCTGCCGTGAAGCAGTAATGCGTTTCGGTTATAAGGGTGGGGCAGCCGTTGTAACTATATTGAGACCTTAGAACTTATGTCTCAGGGTGGGTGGCGCATTTACGTTGTAGATGTCTATGGGCTCCACTAACCACTTAACACCAGGTGGGCTGTGAGCTCGTCCACCCATCTAAGCAATAAATAAAAAAAAGAACCGGCGAGAAACTCAGCGGGCTGATGTTTAGATAAGGTATATTCCACCCATCAAACGGGAACATGATTGATTCGTGGCCGAAATAAATAACACAGTGATGTATGAGACCAATAGTACTTCCAGAATGAACCACCCTCTACAAAATTTACTGTTACAGCATGGTCTACTTCTAACTATATTCTAACTAACTTCTAACTATAACCGCCTATTGTACAAATGTATCTGCTTTTTGACTGTTCTTTGAATGTAAATTGTGTTTTGGTGTGCAATAAAGTGTATTCTCTCTCTCTCCCTCTCTCTCTCTTTCTCTCTCTCTCTCTCTCTCTCTCCCTCTCTCTCCCTCTCTCTCTCTCTCTCTCCCTCTCTCTCTCTCTCTCTACCTCTCTCTCTTAAAAAAATATTATGAGCGATAAACAGGGGCTAGCTTGTGTCCAGAAATCGTAGCTCGTCGCGAAAGGTAATAAAACCCTTACCGAAGCGAACAAATCCAGTGAAACATTGAAGAATTTCGCTCCAGAGATCGTCATCGCCTTCTGGCATTGTTGGCAGACGATCTGCACGAACGTCTTCGCCTCCTCGGAACCGTCGTACCACTGACACGAGTAGGCGGCCTCCATAACCGATGAGCTCTGTTATCAAAAGATCTCTGATTAAATGGCAGCTCTACAAATAGTTGGTACTTCAATCAATGGATAATGGTGGTATGGAATGTTGTGAAAAGACTGAGATAAGCACCACTGTCCAGTTTATTTTATTTAGTGGGTTTTTTTTTTATTTATTGCTTAGGTGGGTGGACGAGCTCACAGCCCACCTGGTGTTAAGTGGTTACTGGAGCCCATAGACATCCACAACGTAAATACGCCACCCATCTTGAGATATAAGTTCTTAGGTCTCAAGTATAGTTACAACGGCTGCCCAACCTTTCAAACCGAAAGGCATTACTGCTTCACGGCAGAACTAGGCAGGGTGGTGGTACCCACCCGCGCGGACTCACGAGAGGTCCTACCACCAGTAAATGTTAATGGTGGTAGAGCGTGTTATGAAAAAACTGAGATAAACACCACTGTCCAGTTTATTTTATTTAGTGGGTACGAACATACTATACGTCAGCACATTACAAGTAACTTATATATTGATCTCACACTAATTCCTAAAACAATTACAGGTACTGACTGTATGTATTAAACAAGCGGTTCATTGTATGATACTAGAAAAAAATATTACATGAAAATGTAACATTATTACACATTACTACATTTACTGCCAAATACGTCATTATATTACTGAAAAAGCTCATTGAGCAAGGTTGTAAACGTCTTGTCTTTGTTTAATTCTGCCACGAAGCATGCACTTCGGTTTGAGGAGTAAGACAGTTGTTATACGTTGTCTTATAGAGAACTAGCGACCCGCCCTCGCTTCGCTTCGGAAACTGTAATTTATTATTGATTTCTCCACTATTTAATGAATGTTATTATACATATAAACCTTCCTCTTCAATCACACTATCTATTAAAAAAAACCGCATCAAAATCTGTTGCGTTTTAAACATTTAAGCATACATAAGGACAGAGAAAGCGACTTTGTTTTATACTATGTAGTGATGAGTCCTTTAAGTGTATATAAGAATAGAACCAACATAAAATCTCACCTCCTCAATAAGTCTGTTACCGAAAATGCAGAAATGGAACACTTGTCCAAGAGTATAAACAAGATATCCGATCGTGCTGAATGCATACACGTTTATACCGTTTATCTGTAAATCAAAATGTTTGGTTAAATTAAATCATATTCAGATACGTTATAAATAAAATTATCTATAATAAAATAGTTATGTCGACTGACTCAATGAAGTTATGACTACATTCTTTACTATTACCGAATCAGGATATATAGATAACTAGCGACCCGCCCTCGCTTCGCTTCGGAAACATTAAAACACACATGAAACCAAAAAAAAAAAATTAAAAAAAGTAGCCTATGTTCATCAGGGACAATGTCGGCTTCTAATGGAAAAAGAATTTTTCAAACCAGTCCAGTAGTTTCGGAGCCTATTCGAAACAAACAAACAAACAAATCTTTCCTCTTTATAATATTATTATATATTATATAGATAAAGAAAAATTAAAATTAGATAAAGAATCGTATTAAATTCTTTGAACATTTGCATTTAGGTAACAACGGAATAATGAAAATTATATTCTCTGGTAAATTATTTTGCTATTGGTACGAAATATTATTATATAAAGTGGTATAAAATCGAATAAATCAATAAATAAATTATTATTTAAATTTTAATGAATGATTTCTGAACTTCAATGATATTTGCTTGTTGTTTAATGGTCCCCGATGCGTGAATAACATTTTTCAGTATTAAGTTCTTCTTTTTCTAATCTGACCGTTTGAGGGACTGGACAAATATTTTTGGTACTTCCATACTTCAGGAAATTTTAAATCATTTTTCTATCCACTATTGTCCATTGCAAAGCACCGCTTGCAATTTAATAATAGTGTAGTTTATCTATAGATATCTGGGCCTAGATATCGGCTGTCTAATGTGTCTTTATTGTCCTTGCTAGGCGATTGCACTTACAAAGGATTTGATTCATAAGCTCATAAGTTTAAAGTATTTTATTTGGTTTGCGCCAATCGTAGAAATTAAAACTAATTTTACGTGTTTATAATGCGGAATTTACATTACGAAATTAGTGTCATGCATGTTGAACTCAGTTTCACGAAAGTATACGATACATGCGAAAGTAATTTCGTTAAAAAATTAGTGTCGCGAGATCCACAGTATCGCAGTAACCATGGCGCCTTCAGCATCAAAGCTATATTTTGCTATATTCAATGTAGCTAAAGAATTATATATAAATTTAAAAAAATACGTTAGTGAAATCGAGGATGGTTAACAAGAAGGCATTTAGGTGCAATGAATTTAGTCTCTGAATTAGCAGATGAAGATCCTGAGAGCTATAATATAAAAACTATTTTCGAATGAGTGAGGATAATTTTGATTTTTTACTGTAGATGTTTCGGGTCCCAGAGACACTCTTGTCGCTGATATTCATTAATGAATTGTATATTTTTGTTTGTACTCCATCGTTGTTTCATTTTATTATTTCCGGCGTTTTGAATGGCAATTTTTGTAGTGAGGGACGTCGTCAGCTGTCGTCGTGGAACGCGAGATTGAGCCGTAAAATTAATTTTAATTAAATTACTACGTAGACTACGTGCATATAATAAATAAGTACCTTAGTCGCCTGGTACGCCAGTAAAGTAAGAGTGATGGTCGATACTAACATATGAAATAGCAGAGCCGTTCCATATGTATCTCCAATTGAAGCAACCAGCCTAGAAATTAGATAAAATATACAGTAAAGAGTTTTTTCATGACACTTATATTGAACAAAACACCGCGTCACCGTTTCAATGCAAAAATTTAATGAGCAGTTAACGACATTATATTTTTGTATCTGACAAGAAATTAAAATAGTAAAGACGAAACTGTATCTTTGATAAAACCCGAAAAACATTTTAATTCAATCTATTAATCAAGATCTAACACAGATTTAGTGCCGCTGGCGAGTAAGTAGATCTGGATTCTATGAATATTTCAACTAGAGATCGCAAATAATATATACCGTTACGCAAAAAAATTGAGCTTGTGAATTTAAGAAAACCTCCCTGCTTTAATTTTCCTGTCACTCGCTATTTGTCGTCCCATCTTACGGCTAAATAGGTAGCTTTTTCGAAGTGCTCTGAGGAATTATTCGAGATGATACCGGCATCTCGTTTTTACCATCGCACCGCCCGCCACCGGAGTAGAGCTCATCCATACTACCTGGAGCCACTGCGGTCATCCACAGAGGTCTTTTTTGCCACGTACCATCTGGCTATGGAATGAGCTCCCCTTCATGGTGTTTCCCGAGCGCTATGACATGTCCTTCTTCAAACGAGACTTGCGGAGAGTATTAAGCGGTAGGCAGCGGCTTGGCTCTGCCTCTGGCATTGCTGAAGTCCATGGGCGACGGTAACCATTCACCATCAGGTGGGCCGTATGCTCGTCTGCCTACAAAAGCAATAAAAAATAATAAAAACAAAACATTTTTTAAATCATATTAAGGGTATTTGTTTCACGTGAGTTAATTAAAAAATCAAACATGAGAAAATACCGTCTTATGTCTATTTAATAGTTAGATTGAATCAATATTATTCTATTGATCTGGTGGGCAATGTCAAAACCATATGGTGTCGACCGTGGGAAAACCACAGGTGCTCTGCCCCGCTCAAGGCACTTTCGCTATGCTGTCAACTATTAAGTTCACGGTACAGAAATAAGTATCGGCGGAAATTGAATGCGTCGAAAGTTTCTCTTCACCAATATCTCGTAGTGAACGTTTTATTTCTAGTTCTTGGAATAATTCGAAAAACCTAACCAATATAATTTTTGTATTATATATATCGCTCAGTGATTTTTGAAGATACGTTTTTTTTATTGCTTTTATGGGTGGGTAGACGAGCTCACAGCCCACCTGGTGTTAAGTAGTAACTGGAGCCCATCTACGACGTAAATGCGCAACCCACCTTGAGATATCAGTTCTAAGATCTCAGTATATTTACAACGGCTGCCCCGCCCTTCAAACCGAAACGCATTACTGCTTCATGGCAGAAACAATCGGAGTGGTGGTACCTACCCGTGCTGACTCACAAGTGGTCCTACCACCAGTATTATATAGTAGCAGTAGTATATTATTAGCCTCCTGACGAAAATAATGCCACAGCAACATAATGTGCCAATGGTATCTAACTTTTTAGATTCTTTATAAATAACTCTGCTGTAGCTCCCGATTGAAAAGCCTTGTAGCTATTAAATCCGTACAAAGAAATTTTATTAATTCCCCATAGCATTCGAGTCTAGGACTTTTGGAAACTAATTCACAAAATATTTGGCGTGAGGTGCTCTATTATTCATGTCATTGAACGAATGTTTTCTTCGTAAAATTTCTATATTTAAAAACAATATCAAATACCACTCACACATGGAACAGTTTCTTCAATTAAATAGCAACATAAATTCCACCTCCAGACTTTGGTGTCGCTAATAACAGTAAACCAAAACAATCTCTCTTCGCAGCTTCCAAAATTATCAAAGTTATTTCGGCTTTCCACATGGGATTCAGATCATTAGCAAAAGTTTCTAACTTAGCTAACTTCTAAACCGTGGTAAACTTCCGTGAATTGCTAGCAAAGTTCCGAGATCTTGTTGTAGCTCGGATGACCCTCGGACAACGCAGACAATTTTAACGAAAACTATTTTAGACTACGATTCCTGTTAAGTGGGTTGAAGAGGGATTCAAACAAAATATTTCAAGCGATAATACTCCCAAGTACAATCTAAATTGCTTTTGATAAAGCATTCCTAATTAAAATTTAATTATTCTTCTCTAACGAGAATTTAGTTATTGAAAATTTAAAGATTTTCTTGGTGAGAACTAAACACGTAATAATCTCGATCTATTTAATTTCACAGGTAGAAAACTATGTATGCGTTTCAGATTTGTCGGCACAGGTTTTCGTATTTCTGATAAATTAAATAGTTTTGCAGTGGAATGTCCCTGAATCAGTGCAGTAGTATGACCCCGAACGAGGAGAAATGGCTGGATATGTGAGGCGTATCAAATCTGTCCTCACTATGACTACCACAACCACTCTGTCAATATTGTAACGACTGAGAGGAAGAAATGATTCTGATGGCAATACATGTAGATACAAATCTACATGCGGCTTGCAGGTAACGAATCGAATCAACGATTAGATATTAGTTATTAATTAGATCGAATCGAAGAACGATAACCAATTGAAGATTTTTTATCCGATACTATTTCTACTACTCGTCTTTTATCTGAATCTTACCTAACAACGTGCTTATGACGTTCAACCCAATATTTTATAGCTGATCTAGCCAGCATCTCCTGTTTTGCTGTCAAACCGTTAGGATTGTTCTCCGCATTAAAGTTCTGTAGCTTCCCTCCAGCACCCCGTAGAGTCATTCCGAAGTCTTGCTGAGTGGAATAGATTCCGCGGATATCCATATCTACTGCATCTGGTACTTTCTCGGTCTTATCTGTATGAATTTTTTGACGTATAACATAATAGATTTTAATTCAGAAATATGAAGAAATCCTGAACAAAAAATGAATCTTGAGTCGATGTCCCTTTTAATGGGAATTGTTAATTTGAGTTTTATAACAATTTTCCTGCATCACAATGAACATTATATGATATATTAATTATATTATACTATATATTATAATATGTGTTTTACTTTCAACTCGATAAAGGAACACAATAAACTCACAATAACGAAATTTACATTATAATATTATAATAAATTTGTAGATTGCTACCATCACCTTTCTCATTTCTTTTGAGTAATATCCGTGCATTCCAGTTTGAAGGATTACAATTCTAACGGAATAGAGTCTCATGTATGACGGTAATGTTCAAATTGCCATTGTGTCTATAAGTCTTCTAAGTCGCCAGATGTGGTAAAATATAAACTCATTCTAAAACAAGGATACAAAAAAAAAATGTTTACCAGTAGATGAAACTCGGAACAACTCAGCCGTATTGGGACGGTAGGTGTCCAAAGCAGCGCTTAGTTCCATCAACGGCTTCATAATTGCCTTCAAGTGCTGCAGCTGTTCACAGGCAAATATCAACCACGAACAGAAAATGACATCCAGCAAATTCGCCAATGCCATTGAGAAAAGCAGGAAATAAATCTAAGAAAATTTTATACGAATCAAAAAACGAAAATACGAATTAAAATCGAAATGATAATCAGAAAACAAGTTGTATCCAAATAAATAGAAAACTAATTAGATACGTACCTGGTAAATGAAAGCGAAAACGTAGCCGCCGCCACTCATTGTCTTAAATGGATACCACGCCTTGAGGGGTAATCGAGGCGCAGGCTCCGTCAAAGTTTCATTTGTCTCTTTACTGGCTATCATACGGACAGATTCACCGAAGAACGTTAAAGTGACCCAGCCTGAAAAATACCCATGAATACGAAATGGGATAGACTTATTTCAGCCGAATGTAATGGCTGACAAGAACTTCGATGATGATAAAAGCAAGCTTTATTTTCTAGATCAGAGTTAACCAAATGGAATATAGGAAATCAACCGTTCCGATTTGGAACCTAAGTTAGTACAGAGTAAATCTAAATTAAAATACCTAAAAATAAACTAATTAAAAAAAGGCTTAGTGCTTTCGTTTGAGTCTAACCATATTGAACAAGTTGAAAATAGGAAATTTAGTCAATTTTATGAACGAAATAGAAGGATGACTAACTGAAATTGAATTTGTAACTAATAAAATAGAAGCTAACACAGAACTTACTGATTACTGAAAAAACGGTCATGCCACAGATGAAATAAAGAAGCCTTCGCATTTTGCTTAAAGAGATCTGATGGTAACGGGCATCTGATTCTGTGAACAACGGATGGCTGTTGGACTGATTCCACACTGCGAGGGTTCTGTAAGAATCACAAAACTCTTCAAATGACAATGAAATTAGGTTCTTAAGTAGCAAGCAAATTTTTAAATTGGGTTACATACAAAATACTGAATGAATATCGTAATATTTCTTATAGCTAACAATGAGAAGATCCAGAACCAATCGTGGCCTCCTCCAGATACGAACATCTACTACCGTTAGTAGCGGTAAGCTCACCTTTTTCTTCACCACTATTCTTTTTTTTCCCTACCTATTCTAGTAACCTCGAGAGGTTATTCTAGGTTTATCGAATTAGTCTATTCTTTAATTCCTAACCCCGTATTTTATACTCAAGTAATGGATGTGGAGCGTGTTGCTACGCTTCGCAAGTGTGTATCTACATCCTGCTTATTTGTGGTCTGAACCATACATGTATCTCGTTATTATAGTCAGTGTAACCATTGCAGCAATCCAAGTGAGGCTTCAATCGTATGCCTTTAGTTAGTAACTGGCATCCCTATTAAGACATAAAATTCGAATCCAAGCCTTACCAGTCCAAAGGAGGCAATCAATTAGAGCTCCTAGAGCAAGCACAACACAAAATAAGTTTGAAAATCATGCCAATATTACTCCACTATACAAACAGAGTACTAGTTGACTCATTAATTTCAGCAAAACATCAAATGAGTAGTCAAATCTATATATATAAAAGAAAGTCGTGTTAGTTACACTATTTATAACTTAAGAACGGCTGAACTGATTGGGCTGAAAATTGGTGAGGAGGTAGCTTAGAACCTGGAGAAGGGCATAGGATACTTTTTATCACATTCCAGTTGGACGTGACATAAAATGTGGTATAACAAAACGCAACTGATATGGAATAACAAAACGAAACTGACAGCTAAACGTAATGTAGTCTATGGTTAATTATAGTAGAATTTTGAAGTTGACCGGTTGATGTGTTTGAAATAAACCGTGTGGCGGAACAAAGTTCGCCGGGTCCACTAGTAGTAAATAAAACATACATTCTAAATTATTTAATAATACTCGTGAAATTAGATGTAAGAAAATGTTTAAAATTCAAAGTTGGCGAAATATATTCCTTCTATTATCGTTACAGAGAGTTCGTTTATAAATGTATTTTCTGAAAATTTTCCATTGAATAAGCTTGAATTTTAATTACGACCTTAAAATAAATATAAATGTTTTCCGAACGAGTGTTTTTGTTAAAAGGCAGGCCCTATTAAAACCGAAAAATGGGACACAGAATTTCGTTCAAAGGATTACATGTTTGAAAAGGTTCTTCGAATAATATGAACATAAAGATGATTGATTACAGCTCTTTGTTGTTATGTTTATGAATTAAATTATTTTTGAAGTTATACTTCTTTAGGCGCGTTATGAAAAATTAATGAGAGTGAAATTTTACGATGAAGTTACCCACTAAATCGCTCATTACAATACGACCGACGTAACTTGGCGAGTCCGAATATAGCCGCAGGTGAACTTTCCGAACCGTACCGAGAATTACCGAATTTATACGAGTTCAAGAAAAGGGATGTCCAATATGCGTGTTTGAGGATGTTGTTTAATCGATTTTTTTTCAATTTGATTAAAATTTAAATAAAAAAAAATAAAAAAATTATAAAAATAAAGTATAACTTCTTACGCGCGTACATAAGTACACGCACCCTTATTATATTTAATGAGAATTGTATAATCATATATTGAAGCTATAGCTTTAACTTAGAATAATAATTAAAGTACGAAATTTTAAGGAAAAAATTAAGAAATCAAATGTTTCAAATGTTTTGAATAACACAATTTATTGTTTTAACGATATCTCAAATTGTAAAGTCTTAAAATAAAGGCTTAAAAAAAAGCGTTACAATATTGCTTTTGTTTGAGAATACTTATATCGTTCCTTGGTCTTAGCAACTTGGCCGATATTAAAAAAAAAGTAGTTTCATTCAAAAAACAAATAAAAAAAAACGTTTTATTTTAAACTCAGAATGTGTATAATCGCAATAACCGTTACTATAAGATTATTGATTAAATCAATAAGCCTAAATGTTAAGTAAATGTTTGTTTCCCTGATTGAAATTACAGATACTGGTGGTAGGACCTCTTGTGAGTCCGCCCGGATAGGTGTCACCACCCTGCCCATTTCTGCCGTGAAGCAGTAATGAGTTTCGGTTTGAAGGGTGGGGCGGCCGTTGTAACTATACTTGAGACCTTAGAACTTATATCTCAAGGTGGGTGGCGCATTTACGTTGTATATGTCTATGGGCTCCAGTAACCACTTAACTTAATAATAAACTTAATAATAACTTAATAAAAAAAACGTCTTACCTGTAAAAACTTTTAGAGTTGAACGCAAAGAATGCCAACTTAATGATGCTGTGAGCGAAAAACAGGACCGTAATGGTATTTGCCGTGAGCTCGTTGACTTCGTCCTTGTATTGTGCCATGTTGATGCCCATGCAGATGTAGTGGACGACAATGAGCACGGCATGGGCACTCGAATATATTTTCCGTAGGAGCATATTCATTCCGGAGGTATCTAAATATTTCAAAAAAAAAACATAAATTCAGAAAAAAAAAACTTAATTAATATTTACATAGTAAGACAATTTCGGAACATGTGCTTTTCCTGTTTACTATATCATTGTGTACTAAAATTGAAAAAGCTTTACTGACTTCCAAGCTGTTTCAAAACTTATTCGTAATGTTGCGATAAAGTACCCAAAATGCAGATTCAAAATATCGTGAAATTTCAAATCTCCGAATAAAGTTTTATCGTTTTCTTACGACGTAGATAACAGCTATATTACGGACATTTCAGAGGCCCTTTATGACATCATAAAAGGGAATCCCTTACCGGCATGATAATTGAATAAGAAGTGGCCCGCTGCTTGCAGTAATCTTATGCAGGGCATCAGGTCTGTGACCAGGCCCTGCGTCTTGACCTTGGTCATCATCTAAAGAATTAACAACAAATTTAATACCATTAAACCTACAAATTCTTTTCTATCTTCCTATTTTCCATTACGTCAGAAATTATTTTAAATTTTGTATAAAACTAACCTTGGATGACTCCTCAAATGTATCTTATGTAAATATCTCTTACTCCTCCAGACGTTCTATCATTAATGATTGCGTTTCAGGACTGTAGGCGTGTATCATTACCAATAACAAGTAATGAAATGATTGATTTTTTCATTGCCACAATTCAAAGTCTCATGTGACGTGTTACGTTTTGAAAGTCACTTAGCCAATAGGACGTTGGGTGTGGGCATACGTTGTGGGAATCACCATTTGGTGACCGTCCCAGCACCCGGCAATTTCTTAGTCTTAATTATGAATGTATTCATCCTTGTCGATTGTAATGAATATACATCTGTACAGAGGTCGATCGATTGACACAGGAATTGGTCGAAGTTTTAAGTCGAATTCTCAATTTTGTTTATCTTACTGAGTACACATTTTACGATTCAAGTTTTGTTTGAACTATAATAAAACGTTGTATCGATCTATTTTCTATTAGCAACTGATATTGGTAAATTACTACTAACAAAACATTGCTTAGTTTAAAAAAAATAAAACATTTCTTTAAATCAAGAATAAATTGTGTTTTATTATGTTTTCAATAATTAAATAGCCTGCTTAGCACACAACATTTTTTCGGGCCGGCGGCCGAACCTCCTACGGGGTCCTCGCGCCTAGGGGGCGCGTGGAGTATGTGGGACTTGACGATTTACAAGTTGTTGGGAGCAGACCGCCGATCTAAGGAATTTTAGAGCCCTACCCACTACACACGGGGGTAGCGTGGGTGTCAGCCGCCCGGAGCGGAAGACAATTATACCGCCCTTTTATTTAAGTATTTCACTTTGATGTATACATTAATTCTAAAATTTTTTTTGGCAAGAGCAGTCATCATTATTTTGCAGAGCTACGCTGGCGCATTTTGCGCAGAGCGCATCTCTGCCCGCTACCATAAGCACACGGGACGCCAAACTGGGGATCGCCAAAGCCACCGACCTGTCGGTCGGTAAACTAAGTGGCTCGAAATCTGTAAAACATTTTCGTAGAATGCACCATGAAAAGACTGTTTGTAAAGCCACCCCTTTAGAAGTGAAAACAGAGGGAGAACAAAATATGAATGGAGCTCTTCCCAGAAAATCAAAATGATAAACAAGTATTTTGTAATTACAATGTTCTAAATTGAAAACACACAAGCGAGCATACAGTTTAAGAGTACGGTAAACGAATAAAAGAATAATACATAAAGCATAATGCGGTCCAGCTTGTGACATGAGGTCTATCTCAAATTTCTTATCTCTCTCTCTCTCTCAGTATTGCACCGTTAATTATCCAATGTAGAATACGTAACATTAAAATTAGTTTTTTTAATAAGTTCGTTAACGATATTAAATGAAATAAATAAAAAATACAAAGAAAAACTATATAAATTTATGAAAGTTCTAAACCAATTTAAAAATTTTGGGGAAGTTAAACGTTTCATTACAAGAAAATTATATTTCGGTTGAAAATAAATCTTTCTTAATTAAAATTCTAAGAAAGATAAATAACGCCGCTTTAACCTGTAATACCCTGTAATGAAATCTAAATGCTGAGCTTAGTCTTTACGTTTTGTACAAATTTTACAATTTTTAGATTTACCTTCTCTTAATATTTGTGCATGCTAAAACTGACTTTATCTGAATCGTCTTAAAGTGCATAGCTTTGGCCGTACCTATTTTTCAAGGTAAAAGGAAATTTGGCGTAGAGGTGTTTTATAGGTAGTTGCGAGAAACCGTGACTTATTTCCAGGATTTCGAAGGACATAGTTGGAAAAGTTGAGAGTAAGTTAACTAGATTGCTTTTGATTAAAATAAATAAAAAACTTGAGAGCTGTCAAGAGACACCCGGATGGAACGAAGTGCCTTTCGGTTAATTAGTAAAGGAATTGTAATAAAATTATTATTTTTTATTATATATAGGATTCATTATTGTTATAATTTTTTATTATGGACAAAAAACCTGTATACACTCAACAAAAATAATCGTCGCGACACCACATTGTTCAAAGCGAAATATAAAGACGAAAGAAACGAAAATAACTGACTTGCTTCCTATGAGAGAGAGAGAGAGAGAGAGAGAGAGAGACAGAGAAACACGCGCACGCCGCACGGCTTACAACTATAGCAAAAAGTGTCGTTACAACTTTTGTTCTTAATTTTTTCCGCCTAGCCCCTTTTCGCAACGCGCGATAAGGATCTTCGTTCCAATATTTAACCTTTAATAGCTTCTACCATCAGTCTGAGCAACATTTCAGATGAGTTCGAAGTCATGTTGCCAACTCGCATGACATCACCGTCCTAACTACACTTTCCTGAGGCAATCACGTGTTCAGGTCTTTTGTTTTTACTGCTTAGAAGGGTGAGCTAGCTCATGGCCCACCTGGTGTTGAGAGGTTACCTGAGCCCATAGGCATCGACAACGTAAGTGCTGCCACCCACCTTGAGACATGGGTTCTAAGGTCTTACCTGTAACAGTACAACAAATGCCCCGCCTTTCAGACCGAAAGCTCACCTACTCGTAAAGCTGCAATAGCTCCTCAACGCTATCGGAGATTAGGTAAAAAAATAATATCCCATCTAGAACAATAAAGTATTTAGATTACATTTATTTGACTATTTAAACCGAAAAAGGCATTTAGACACTTTAAAGTGACTTAAGATCCTTCTGCTTATTTACTCTAAAAAAAACCTCGAACCAAACTCCATTATTCAATTCTGAAAAACAAACTACAGAGTTTGAAAACTACATATATTCCGAACCGATCTACGTTAAGTAAGAATGTGGATCCACTATTGATCCGTCAGGTTCTAAACTTAGACCCGAAGTTTCATCGTTATAGAGAAGTTTCCACGCCGACTGGCTTTACTATCGATGCATTTTCAGCTATATTTTTGTTTTGTTAAATTCTCATACGATTGTGTTAGTAATAGTACAGTTTTTTAAGCTATTGCATGGCTTTTATCGCGGGCTTTGAGCGCGGCGGCCGAATCAAGATATTCCGTAACGAAAATAAAACCTAACACCCCTCACTCCGCCTACCATGTAGCTAGCGTTCAACACATTCACACGTTGCGCTTCTGTTTTTTTTTTTTTTTTTTTTTCCTACCTATGCTGATGGCCTTGAGAGGCTATTTCAGCTTCACCCTAACGTTTGTAGGTGAGCTCGCGGGGCTCAACCGGAGAGTTGCTAACACTGATCCTAGCAAGAGCAGTGCTTCGCAGAATCTACCACCGGATCGGAAACGCGACCCACTGAGAAGATCCGGCGAGAAACTCAGTGGGCTGTGTCTATGGGTTAGTTCGCTCGTCGAGCCCTTCGTCGCANCGCGAGCCGCTGTTCGGGGGTTACCGACCTACGGATAGCATCTGCGAACGATCGCAGACGGTCAAAGTTTACCGCGGTGACGAAGTCGCGCACGAGCGCGAAGTCGTTGACGACTGAGGGTTGCGGGGGGCGGTACGCGGGCGCGGGGCGAGGTGCGAGCAGGGGCTGAGGCGCGTGACGTGTCGCAGGCGGGAGCTGGGGGACGTTTTGTGTTCCCTCCTTCGTATACGGCAGCGGTTTTTTCCACGCCGAGACGGTGGGAACCGCAGCCGGTACGAAGCGCTTCTGTAGTGTTTGTGAATAAGCGCACGGCGTGTCGTCTCACTGCATGCGCATCATGAAAAATCTGCCTATCTCTCTCTCTTGCGGTCTAGCTTATGAGTGTGAAGGGGACATGTAATGTTTTGCTTTTGTTAATGTTTATAAATATGTATAGCGGGGTCTTATTTTATTATTGTTTTAATATTAAATTATTATTGTCTATATCTATACTTCTATATCTATACTAATATTATAAAGAGGAAAGATTTGTTTGTTTGTTTGTTTCGAATAGGCTCCGAAACTACTGGACCGATTTGAAAATTCTTTTTCCATTAGAAGCCGACATTGTCCCTGATGAACATAGGCTACTTTTTAAAAAAAAAAAAATTTAATTTTTTTGGTTTCATGTGTGTTTTAATGTTTCCGAAGCGAAGCGAGGGCGGGTCGCTAGTCTAATTATAATTGCATAAATTGATGAAAAATTCTATGCAATAGCTTTACCGCGGCAGTCCACGAATTTGACACGTGTTTTTTTTTCAGTCTGCGACACTATAGAATAGAACTATAGAACACTATATAGAATAGACGGGTCCGAAGTCGATTTAATCTTCCCTATGATAAATGAAAAACATCTCTTTGAAGTATTCGTATCGTCTGTACCGTCTGATGTCACTAGCTTTCTATACTCGGGTTAGATGTCCGATGTGCTCTAATCGAGTGATGAGTTCAAAAACCGCAGATAGGTCGCGATTTTTCAAGTAGATTCGTACATATGTGATACGTTTTCACTACCCGATTACACTGGTAACAGAATAATCCAGGATTATTTTATTTTGGTCGCACTAACGCTAAAATGCTTTCTGCTTGAAGGTTTTTTTTCCTGCCTATTTGCTGGTAGCGTACGGGGCTAATCCAGCTACACGCCCACGGGTAGGTGAACTTACGGGCTCGACCTGAGGGAATTTGCTAACACTAGCCCCTAGCAAGAGCAGTGCTTCGCAAAATCTACCACCAGATAGTAACCACGAACCACTCAGAAAATCCGACGAGAAACTCAGTGGGCTCTACTTGATATCAAGTGCACATTATATAGACCAAAGTTCCCGTTCTCTTCTAAAATAAATGACATAGTAAATGCATCAGTTTTTGACATACATAAATTCAAGCAGAACCTACTACCGAATGGTAACCACGACCTACTAAGAAAATCCGACGAGAAGCTCAATGGGTTCTGTTTGATATCAATAGTGTACTTAACATAGACCAAAGTTCCCATACACTTATAAAATAAATCACATAGTAAATGCATCAGTTTTTGACATAAATTCAAGTAATCCACCCATTGCAATTTACATGCACTATGCCAACAAAGCAAATGACTATTACCGACCACAATACTACGGTATCCATATAAAACGACTATAGTCAGTTTCAATATGATGAAAGAAAAATGAAATAATGCTGGGCCTGGAGAACTCAAGGTCTCTGATACTGAGGGGAAACGTTTTTGGCCAGGAACTTGGAGAGCGTGGGCAGGGGATGCTTTGAACTCAGTGTCAGTCACTAAGAATTCCGATTACTACT